ACATTTCACAGAGGATATCATAGGATTCCAGGAATGTATCTCATTTGGGGCAAAAGGAATTTTCCAATTTTGTAGAGAAAAATATCTGAGCTATAGATGACAGTGTGTTTTGGGGGTTCTGGGGTGCTGTAGGCACTCTCTAGAAAGTCTTTCCAGGTTCTTGTCCTAAGCAAAGAATTGGACAAGACACATGCAAGAGGTAGCATGGTTTTACATTTATTAGAGGTAGGAAAAGTATGCTTTGCAAGATTAGAGGAGGCCATTGGAAGCTCTTCCATAAGGTTAATGGTGTCCATCTTTTCTATCTCCCAGTCTGACTTCAGATCAAGGGCATCCTATCAAAAATCTGCTTGAACCAGTCATGGTGGCACACATCTGTAATCCCAGCACTCTGGAGGCTGAGGCAGAAGGATCGCTGTGAGTTCAAGACCAGCCTGGACCACATAGTGAGTTCTAGGTCAGCCTCAACTATATACTGAGACCCTGCCTCAAAAAAACCAAAAAAAACCCAAAAAAACTTGTTTGATCTCATGTCAGCAGAATTGATGTTAACATTTTCTGATTAATCCCAGGTTCAGTTCTAGGGCACTGTCTTCTGCACAGGTGTCCTGTAGCTCTGTGATTGACAGGCCACTCCCATTCACCTAGATGGCTAGCCATACCCTAATATGCTATCTCAAAAGTAGTCCTCACTCACCTGTAGTTTGTCTTTCCATGGTTTCAGTTACCTATAGTCAACCACGATCTGAAAATATTAAATGGAAAATGCCAGAAATAAAAATATTAAGTTTCAAATTGTTCATTGTTCTGAGTAGCGTGAAGAAATCTCATACTGTATTACTCTGTCCAGCTTTGTATGAATGATTCCTTTGTTCTGCACGGCCATGATGAATATACTACCTGCTAGTTAGTTGTTTTGTAGCATCTTGGTTGTCAGAATGGCTCTCAAGATATCACAATGCTTATGCTCAAGCAACTTATTATATTTACTAATGGCTCCAAAGTACAAGAGTAAGGATGCTAACAATTTAACTATGCCTAAGAGAAGCTGCAAAACAAGTTCTTTAATGAAAAGATGAAAGTTCTAGACTTAAGTAGGAAAGAAAATATCATATACTGAGATTGCAAAGATCTATGAGAAGAAACAATTTTTTATCTGTGAAATTGTGAAGAATAAAAAAGAAATTTGTGCTAGGTTTGCTGCCACATCTCACACTATAAAATTATGACCATGGGTATGAGAAGTGCTTAGTTAATATGAAAAATGTATTAAATTTGTATATGTATATAAGAAAAATAGTATAGGGTTTGGCAGTCTCCACAGTTTCAAGGATCTACTAGGGGTCATAGAATGTATCTCTTATGTATAAGGGGGGCTACTGTACACCTTAGATTTAATCTTGGCCAGCATGTGACTAATTTGTAAACAAACATGAGAAACAAATTACAAAATTTCCCTAAAAATGGAAACTTAGGACTCTGGTTGACTGAATAAAAACGTGGTTTCAATGAGTAGGAAAAAGGAAGAACAGAAGGCAAAAGAAAGTAGAGAGAAAGAGAGAGACTAGAGAAAACAGGACAATATTTTGAGAAGATGGGTTTTTGGGAAGGAGAAGAAGTAGAATTTAGGAACTTCAGTAGTTTTGTTTCAAGTAGACAAACAGCCTCAGGCTTGATACTCTTCACTGTGGGACTGAGGAGAATGTAGCCAATTGGACTTCTTAATCTTGAAATGAGGGTGGTTTTATGAAAATGTAAATTCCAGGGTGCAAATGCCTTGTCCTGATTTGTAATAATCCCTCAGTTAGAGAAGAACATACATATGAACAAGCTCTCTAGTTCAATCTGATACAGATGGTCTCTACATGGACAACCCAGAAGTACAGGCATAGAGCCAGAATACTGTTTTCATGATTAGAAGAAAAACATGTTATAAATGCAAACACAAACATCCTCCAAGTCACCAGGTTGAATTATAGGCTCCTGCAGAGTTTATCTTTGGGTCCCACCCAAAACTTTCTGCCCATTCCTGAAACCTGATGCCCCAGTGCTGTCTTGTAAGGCACACCCCCACACACACCGTCACGCTGTTTAGATGGTAATGAGTCCTGTGGTGTGGTACAAAGGCTATTTTCTCTCATGTGAACCATTATTCTAGCACACTATAGAACTGGATTTGTTTTCCTCCATGAAGGTGTAGGAAATATATAAATTTCTGAGTTCAGCAAGCAGAAAGCACCCAAAAAGATGACTAGTATTTGAGTATGAGGCAGCTTCATTTCTCACTGCAAAAACAAACAAACAAATCTTTCCAGCTGGGTGTGGTGGTACACATCTGTAATCCACCGCAATGGGGAGGCTGAAGCAGGGGGAGTGCAAATTTGAGGCTTGCTGGGCTATATCACATGATGCTATCTCAAAGACCCAACCAACCAAACAAAAGTTGCCCAATAGTCAAAATGTAATTATTTATGCCAACACTTGCTATCAAAGTTTTCCCATATAGTCAAAGTGTAATTATTTACACCAATAAATACCATGTAATAACTTGAAGTGACCAAAAAAAAAGACCTACAATAATTGCCAAAGAAAAGTTACTCAAGAGCCTGAAGAACATATAAGCAGCGCTTAGGGGAGTGGGATCCAGATAACCTCTCTAATCTAACTGGTGTTCAGAATATGCATGTGGAGATGAAGTCCATCTCTCTCTCTCTTTTTTTTAATCAGAAGTAGCTTTTATTTAATTAATATTCTTTTAATAGTATGCCCAAAGAAATAAATGATTTGAAGTCTGTTTAGTGCAACAGGTATTTCTGGCTTTCACCAGCTAGCATGAGCCCTTAGCTACATGTAAATGGAAATCATACATGGGCCTGTTTTAAGGCTAAAAGAAAATAAAACCTTATGATAGAAAAGAAACAGACACAGAAAGAATAAATAGCTACTCCACAAAGCAGCTGGCTATTCCATAGACAGTCATGTGCATAAAGGAGTCATTTTACTTTTATGGGCTCCCCTCCCAGTTTCCTGAAAATGCTGCTTCTTTATGTCAGGAAGTACATGAGCTTGCTCCAAAAGTACAGTTGCCTGCTTGTTTTCTATCAGGCAGCTACTTCCAGTCCTATTAGTTCCCTGCCTTGGTGGGCCCACAAGAGTTTTGGGTTATACACCTGTACTCCAGAATCAGACTGTCTAGGTTTAAATCCATCTTCATAGCTTGCCTGAAGCTTGGCCTGAAGCAAATGACTTAACCTACCTTAACATCCTCATCTTTCTGCCTCATCTTGCCTCAGAATTTCAGCTGAAGTCTAAAGGTGAGAACAACAGGTAGTGAGGACTATGTGTGCTCAAGACACAGATATTGGACACAGCTACTCAGGATTGATAAGAATAGTGGAATCTGATCATATGCCCCTTAGTGACCACCTCCAACTTGTATAAGAGATGGTTAGAGATGTGCAGGAGGAAAGAGACTTTCTTCAAAAACAGTTGTCATTAGATTAGAATCTGGAATGTTCTCTACAGGATCCTAAGGAAAGAAGCAGTCAGAAAACCTGTTCTACCTGTGGATGGTGTCTGCCACAGGGAAATGCGACACCTCACCTGTAGATACTCACTGGGCTGTACAAATTTTACCACCTATAGCTGTTAATCATAATATATCAACTTGAATGGATCAATAAATGCCTAAAGATCAATAAAGCGTAGTTCTGGGTGTGTCTGTGGATGACTGACACATAGTCTAGCAAGCTAAAAATGGGAAGACCCACTTCAGTGGTGGGGGGCACCAACCAATAAGCTCATAGCCTGGATGGATTAAAAAGGGAAGGAAGAAGGAAGTGTGCATGTTCCTGAAGAGCTCCAGTCTTTTTGAACAGATTGATCTTTTGCTACTGCCATTCCTCTGTACATGTCTCCAGGTCTCCAATTTCTTTAGCCTTCTAACACAGACTCGCACTAGCACTTCTCCAGTGAGCTTCCTTCCAGGCCTTCAACCTTGGATTGGTACTCCATCCTTGATCCTTCTTCTTCGGATGATTCTATCTTCTTGGGCCAAGCAGCTAGTGGATCCTTTAGCTCTCCCTCACAAAGCCGGACATTGTGGATTCTCTCACCTCACCTCTGATCCTGTAAGTTCACCTAATAAATCTCCTTACATAATTATACTTATATTTTCTATTCTTACTGTTCCTCTAGAGATTCGTAATTAATACATCCCCAAAGCAGGACTCTACATGTGACCAGAAGTTTGGGTGCATACATGATGAAGACAGCAGTTGGAATGGAACGGTCTCTTGACACAGGACAAGGAGAGGGGCCAGATACTCCTGGGTTTTGCTTGGCAGCAATGATGAAAATGGCAAGGTTTATAAAGGGCTGCGGAGCACCAGAGGAGGAAGCCAAGCACAAGAGAAAAAAACTGAGTGGGAATTCTTCAAAGCATAATTACATACATCAAAAAATACAGCAGCAAGAAAGTCTGGAAATGAGCGTGAGGTTGTCCTCTAAAAATCCCACAAACATTCCTCATAAGAAATATTAGGATTTTTTTCAAGACATTTGACAGCCAAGAGAGATGTTGAAATGGTATTCTTAAATAATATTTTGCCCCTTTCCTATTGTTCATCTTTCCCTCTACCCTTTACCCCAAATGTGAAGGAAATGATGGAATCCTAGGGGACAGGACAGGACAGGAAGAGACCTAAGAACAGACTGTAATCTACTTCCTGAACACAAGTTTTTGAACATAGGTGGGCATGGTCAGGCAAAATAGAAGAAGCGATTAATTAGGTGAGAGGCTAAATTTTTAACAAATTGGTCTGGATTTCTTAATTACTATAAATAAGAGGATTCTTATTGTTGAAAAGTTGTAAGTTGTTAGGTAAAAGAGCCCAAAAACCAGGACCAGACCAGGACTATAACAAGCCTTTATAATGTGAGGATCTGCAGGGCTGTCTCCTAACAAAGGAAAAGCAGCATGGAGGAACAGGGAGGTTCTTTTATAGGAGTGGGGTGGGGTTAACCTGAGCTGGGGTGGAGTTCAGTGAGGTAGCACTAAGGGATTGGAGGATCCTGTGACATCACTAGGCGGTGCTTGTGACATCACTGGTTACTCACAGGTAGCCAGTATCAGATTACTTTGGCGGGAAGAGGCATGATGGGATGAAGGCTGTCCCTCCTAAGAGAAGCCATATTTAACATGGAGGCTGCTATTCCGTGTGGCAGCCATCTTAAGGCACAGAATATTATGGGAAGGAGGTTACCGTTTTATGTAGCAGCCATCTTGAGCCAAGGGAAATTTAACAGACGTGACAGGTAAAGCAAAGGGATATGTCTGAGATAGATAGTACTCCCAGACAGAGAAAGGAGAACCAACAATGTTTTAAAGTAGTGGTAGAAGACAAACAAAACAAAACAAAACAAAAATGGACACTTTATGATTGAATCCACACTTGGAGTCTTGCTTAAACTAATTGTTATGTTTGCACTATATGCAGCCTACAAAGTATGAAAACATTTGAAAGGTTATTGCTGTTGCAAGATAACTCAGATAAGTGTGGCAGGATTCCTGGAGATAAGAATGTGTTTTGTTCTCTGAATATTTCAGCTCTCCCCACTTCCAAAATTGCTAGACTCTTTGGTCCTTTTGCCTCAGGGAAGTTTGTGTTTCAGGGAAGAAAGTAGAAAAGAAGAAAAAGATCTATCGTTTGTGGAAGGCTTTATGATTTGTGCGTGTGTGAAAATATTGGGCATACCATGAAAACAGGCAAGAAAAAGAGAGGATTATCTTTGAAAACTAGGAGGGAGAGAGAGTTCCCCAAATGGGGTACTAGAACTCAGCTGGGTCTATGAGTATCCGGAACATACGCTTCCTCCTAAAAACACCGTAACAGGAGAAAAGAGCTCAGTGGGAAAGAACTGGGGCTCAGAGAGAGGATAAGCTCTAGCCAATGGGTTCTTCTCTTCAAAAAATCATGAAGTCTTAGATGAGGACAAACAATGGGCTAGAAGCTAAAGGCCCTGAACCCCTCATTATCTGGATTCAGTTGGATATCCTGTAGGTTGCTTACATTCTCATTCACCTCTAGAGAAGACTATATTTTCCACTAATATGGAGGGGTTGGGACTCCAGTCAGATACAATATAGTTTTTAGTGGGCATTTATTGACCATTTGAACTTGTAGTTGTAAAAACACCCACTACAATAAGAAAAGAAACAACCAAATGGTAAGTATCCTTATAAATGCCACACAAGAAGTATATGTTAAGAGGGAATCATCAAGATGGGGGTCACCAGCAAATTACTTTATGGGGGCGATAGTGATCTAGGGATGACACAGGACCTTCAAATGACATAGGGAAATATTAGAATTCCCAACCTTTCAATATCTGATATGCCAAGTTTGTGTTCTCTAAAATCAAAGAATGAATTTTAGGGACAATGGAGGTTAAGAATAGGAAATATTGAGGGAAAGACAGCTTCTGTCTAAGAGATGGTGGGAGGGGGCCCAAAAAGTGGGTTGCTCAAGAGCCCATTTCTCATTTGTTTTGTTTTTTGGTACCAGGGCAAAGAAGTTTTATAGAGCAAAATCATGAGGTAGGTATAAAATCAAGAGGTAGGTATAAGGTGGGTCAAAACTATGGTCAATGAATAAGATTACAAATGTAGTTCCTTAGGTGGTGATCTAATGGGGAAGCAGGTCACTCATAAGTGTGCATGGAAATAACAAGGGCCTTTCTTGGAAGAAATGGCTTAAGATCTTGGTTCCCCACCTAGACAATTGATGCATATTTAGAAGAGCAATCATTATTGTTTTTCTCTGGGGAAGTAGATATAGTCATTTTATCTTTGTCTTGAGGCTTGTCCTTCAAGAAATTTGCCTCCACCCACAGTTGTAATATGTTCTCTTCTTCTACACTGACTTTTTCGAGGGTCTAGCTCTGTCTAACTGCCTGTATTTCTACCTAGCTACCTGTCTATAATAGCAAAACCTCTTTCTTTTCTTGTGTGTGCATATATAT